GAATCCTCACGATCATCGGTACTCCAGAGAGATGGTTACGTTTAAATAAAATTATGGAATAAAAATAGAAAAAAATATATGGAAAAGTAGCGGGTGGGAGTGATAAAAACATCCTCTCCCTTTCTCTCACCACAATCGTTCCGTGCGTTCTCTCTGTTACTCCCGCTTATCCCGCACTAACGAGGAAACTTTCGGAAGCCTCTTTGAATTCGCAAATTCCGGATTTGTCGTAGAATAGCTCGGAATAAAAGACCAGCTCTTTCATTCTTCGGCTGTTCCAGAAAAAGAAGAATAACTGCAGCTCATTAAAATCATTTCGTCTTCGAAATATCCGAATGTCTCCCCGTCTTCATCGTCCTCGCGCTTGTTCCTCTATGTTATAAGAATATCCTCTACTTAATAATACGGACATTAAAGAGAACGTCTTATATCTAAATAACATTCGGCAAAAATCTCTCTCTTTCTCTCTCTCTTCTTCTGTCGCGGATAAAGGACTATGGCTGCGTGGCAACCGAGAGAGTGATCTCGATTTGATTTGGGATATATTAGAATGATGATTATTCCATCACTTGCGATAGACGATGTAAAAAGAAACTCGGTTCGCCCGATCCAGGTCGCGAAATAGTGAATTTTTTTGCGAAATTACTTTTGCGAAAAGTTTTAAAAATAAAATCAATGTATCTCCAAACGATAAATTTCGAAAAAATTACGTTAATTTCAGAGTCCGTCAAATAATAGATATCCATTCGCACGCTATTACAAATACGAATCCAAGCTCAATTGTAATAGCATTTACGTTCTCGTAAAATATTATCGGCAGTAAACCGTTAAAGACTAAGGACGAATTTTAGATGTAAAATACTGCGACAGTATCACAAGTAAGAGGAGCGCGAAAGGCGTGGACGCGAATTTCTTCTGACGTTCGAGACGAGAAAAAAAAAGAAAAGGAAAAGAAATATGATGCGAATACATAATCAGCATGCGCGGGCGAGAGAGAATTCGAGAATTCCTATGAAAAACGGAATTGTGAGCTGTGAAGGAACTGTAGCTCGCGAACTATGCTACTCGATAACTAGCTCTGCGCCCGAGACCAGGTCCGTCGCACAATCGCGCAAAATATATAAATCTCTTAATACAACGCTTAACTCGTAACAATTAATTCGATTGCAGTATAATAATCAAGGCCGTCGAAGCTGACAGTAGACGATTGCGAATATCAAGCGAATCTTATCAAACATATAATTTCTCTTTTAATGCTATACACAATGATTCATTGTGATTTGTTTTTCCCGATGGCGTGTCGGTGTACTAATATAAATGTCACGTAACAAACTTTACATTAGAATTGTCCTCATGACCATCAGTCGAAAAGAATTGAGTTTTAAACAATTCCCTTTCTGTCAATTTCCATACAGCGAAGGAAACGCAGGCTCGATTAAACCTTACTCGATTTTGACTGATTCTCACGAGAACGGCATTAGAAATATAGATATATATGATAAAGCAGCTCTCTCTGTAGAAAGTTACTATCAGAAATCATCTATGTAACGAACAAAGCGATCGCGCGGCGATCGTTACTGGATGATTTAGCACTCCGCTGAAAACGAAGGAACTAAAAATCAACTGTAATTAAACTTTCAACAGAGAAGCTAATTAATTTGCGTACACCTATTGTTGTTATGAGACTGCTGTAATAAGTAGCGACTTAAATCTACTTAAATGGACAAGCTCTCTTAAAAAATAAATGTAATCACTGTATAAAACTACAGTCTCAATCTTGCACATTCCTCGTCGTATTCACGAATGTGCACTCGATTCTTTTCGCTCCCAGCCAAATGTAACAATGTCTCGTTTAGATATTGTCATTCTTCGTTTTGATTATAATGCAATATTTCTTTTTTCTTTTTATTCATTTGAAGACTAATAAAAATATAGATACGAAGTGTCCCGAGAGATTCCAACCTTAATCTTAAAAAATTCGCTCGCTGAAAAATCCGCCGGTCAAGATTTGTTAAAATTTAGGCCGGACGTTCCAGGGCACGTTGTACGTGAGCACAAATTCGCGTTTGTCATCGCTATTTTTAAAACGCACACGATTGATGTGTTAGGAACAAAAACGACACGTAGACGTTCCATCGCGTGGACACCGAAAACGACGTTACAATAATCTTAACAATCCAAACTGTGCTTCCAGTCTATACTCCCACAATGTATCCAGGTACATATTCGACGCAAATGATCTCTCATTAAAAAATACACAAGACACTATACAAAAGCCCGCGGTTTCAATCGAACATTCTTCCGTGTGTCAAACGTATGGCTCATAGGAACATCCAATCGTGGAGTGGTTCTCACGCACCATGTACAATTATCGCGTGCGCGTTTCATCTTCACGTGCGTCAACCGTGATTTTTATGCGTTTTGGAGGCCTGCCGCGCTTTTGTTTAGTCGCGATATTCGCAACCGGCTTTCGTTTCGTGGTTCTGCGAGCACCGCCCGTGCTACGAACTGTCCTGACTGTATTGATTTCGCGCGAGTTCACATCGAGGTTCCTTCCACTTTCAGTAGCCTTCCTCAAACGTCTGGTACGACCGGCGATTCGTTCCATTTCGTCGAACTGTGCCTGCAGACGACGCGCCAACTCGAAGTCCTCCCGCTCCTGCAGCAGCAATCGCTCGATCCGTTGTTGCTCCTCGATCACCTCCTCGTCCGAGAACTCGACGGCGTTGCGCTTATTTTCCGGAACACATTCCTCTGTCTCATCGCAAGATTCTGGCGGCGAATCATAATTAAATTTGTTGTTATTCCTGTTACGCGCATCATTCGATTCGCCTGTCGTGGAAGACGTTTTCATCAAATTTCGCGCAGACTTCCTCAGACCAGACGCAGGATCTGTCGACAGCTCGTTCTTTTCCAATTCGTCTGAATTATTATTCTGAAAACCTCTGCTTGTTTTCCGCCGCTTCGTTTTCTTCGTCGGATCTTTGTCAACTTTCGTATTCTCTTGAGACATCGAGAATGAAGCCTGGTCCACTACGGGACCCTTGTCTGTTCTCTCAGGTAACGCTTTTCTCTTCGTTGCTGCTCTGCTTCTTTTAGACGTATTGGATTCCATTCCTGTCTTCTTCTCCGCGTTTTCTTTTCTCCTTTTAATCCGCTCCGCTATGTTTTCGACGGCTACGTCATCATAGCCGTTCCGTTCATCAGTTTGTGGACTTGTTTTATCGAATGACAAGTTGGAATCTATCGGGTCATCATCTTCTTCGTCTGTCACGTTCACAGATCTGGTCTCCTTCCTGTTGTTCCGCAGATTTCTGTGCCGTTTAGATTTCACTATCATACCGTTCCGTGGATTTGTCCTCCAGGATTTGCGTGTCTTCCTCGTGTCCACTTCATCGTCCAATGATAATTTTTTGCTCACTTTAGTGCCATTGATTATCTTACTCTCATTCTTCGTATAATTCTTGTTACTATCGAACGATGATTCGGGTATAAAATCCAATCGGCGAATAGCGTCATTCTGAACCTTTGTCGTCGGCTTACTCGAAATTGTTTGAGGTTGAACGAGTGACGTAGATGGTTTTGGTTGATCAATCGGTGGTCCCGTATCCCTCAGATTCTGCGCAGCATGCTTTTCCTTTGCGTCCTGTCTTATTTTACCTATAACGATATCTTATAATTAAATAAGAGAAATGTGTTCACATCTTTATATGATTTTAATCATCTAATCGGTAGATATAGACTATAGATTTAGACTACTAGTATTTACTACTAGTATTTATACTAATAATATTTATATACAAATATTCATAATTTACCTCTGAACGCGCTCCAAGAACATCCAATAATACGTTTCATGTGCGTCGGCGACGGAGGTTTTGGCACCGCGTTCGATATTTTCTTTAAAATAGGGATCACCCTAATCAATTTTGGATCTATTTGTTTTCCATCTGCAAATATAAAAATGTAGATCAGCTTTTATTAAATTTTTTTGTACAAATAATTATAACATCAAGTCCCCCCTTTCTTTCTTTCTTTCTTTCTTCCCTCATTTCTCCTCTCTTTCTCTCTTTTTCTACTATATATATGTATACCTGAAGAAATTTTCAACTTCGTTCTCGGCACTGTCTTGATCGGCTTAAAATGATGAATTTCTTGATTTATACTGTCATGACTGCCAGAACTCTCGGCGCTTCCTATCCTTTCGTCATCATCGGCTAGCGTCATGCACACCTCCACTCCTAGACTCTTCTTCTTACTGTTCACTACGTCGCTCGGTATTCGCAACTCTTCCTTCGTTTCCGTCGCGTAAGCTCTGGACGTAGAACATCCGGGATCCGTGGAATAACTTGAAGTGCATGGTTGAATAAACTTGGATACTTGATGTTTCAACGCTTTCGTTACAGCGTTATAAATGGGCATTTGCTTTTGACAACAATGCACAGCCGAATTTTTATGCATGCCAGACGCATTCATCTCGCCAGAATACATTTCTATCTTTGACAACAATGCCATATTCATCTGTCTCGGTTTTGAGTTGTCCCTGACAGATTCAGGAAGACCCACATGCCTGCCTTCCAAGCGTGCAGGTTCGTTTTGTGACGTTTCAGGAGTATTTACAAGTACATTCGCATAGTTGAACTTGGAGTCGTTGAAAGGATAACTAGATATTGATGGGCCTAAGCATTCATTGTAACACTTTGCAACCTCCTTTTGTCTCGCCATGGCCTGCTGTTTTGCCAGAGTCTTGGCTAACAGTTGATCCTTCGCCAATTGTGCTAACAACATCTGCTGCTCTTCAGCCTGAATCTTCTGAATTAGAACTTCGCTGGCCATTTGTTCAGCTTGTCGCTGGCGACGCATTTCTTCCTCGGCCATTTGAAGTTGAGCCTCGTATTCCCTGTGTATCTCTCCAGCTGCGCTGAGTATTCTATTCGCTGCATAATCTAAATAAAAGGTATTTGTTCATATTTTGACAAAAAAAAAAAAACAATGAAGTTTAACACACATATAATTTAATTACAATCATTTTAGTCAATATATTTCATCAATAAAGCGTAAAGTTTAAAAAAACAAGCATAATTAATGTTTCTTAAACAGAAAATCGCCTTAAAGAAAAAAAGGACATGACAATGCTACAAAGTAAAGAAATGACAATGCCAGCAGTACCAAAGTTACATAATCCACAGTAGCATCTGTCTATTAGAAATCAATAAGATATTATCTAAGGAGGAAATTATTTTTTTCAAAGTTAAAAAATAAAACCCACACCCAATGGCGAGGATTAGGTGCCTTCAACCTATCCTTCAGATCATGTAACGTACAAGTCCCCTCACTACTAGCCCTCTGACAAGTAAACACGATCGCTTAGGTTATGTCACATTTGTTTATTGCTCGCACAAATGTGTTTGTACGCGCGCGCGCACACGCTCACATATGTGCATCGCATGTGTGTATCCACATGTACGTATACGTATAGATGTATGCATGTGCGTCACTCACCAGCGTCCAAGCCGAGGTCCCCCTCCTCGCCATTGTACTTATTCTCGACCTCTTTCGGAAACTTGGACCTGATCAGTTCCCAGAGACCGTGGTTCACCAGGGTCTCCGATTTGGTGGCGTTGCGCAGCCAGGAACCGACCCGGATTCGGCAGAGCGGACAGCTCAGGCTATTGTGCTCGAACGTACCCCGCAGGCAGCGCAGGCAGAGGTTATGTGTGCACGGCAGCGTCACTGGCTCGATCAGGATGCCGCGGCACACCGGGCACGTCAGGTCGCGCAGATGCACGTCCGCGGCGGTCCGCGACACCGAGAGATCCAGCAACTTCGACGTACGTTTCAAATACATTTTTCCATATCTCCACGATCACGGCTATACGACGGCCAACCGCTGGCTCGCACTGCGCCTTGCGCCTCGACTACGCCAGCGCCCGCTGTCGAGGATGTCTCGCAATGGTCACCGGGGATCCCCGGGTCGATGGGACATCGCTCCTTTTTACCCATCATCGATAAGTTTCAGAAATTTGCTCGAAATGTTCTTTGTTAATTTTTTTATCACATTTTATGAAGACATTTATACTATAAAATATTAGATACTTTCATAAGATACAATATAAATTTTATTTAATTAACAAAAGTATTATTTAACAAGATAGCCAAGTAGGTTTTCGTATAATCATTACGCCTCATTTTTTTGAAAAAGAAACAAGTCGTAAAGTTGATTAGGCTATTAAATTCATATTGCACATCTAACAATTAAAAATGGAAGTTCGAAAGCATAACAACAGTGGAAATATTTATAAGAAATGCTCGTAAACATTTGCCTGTTCCTTTTTTCTCTTTCTGCAATTTTCTTTTCCTTGGAATAGTAATTTTAATCAAATATAATCATTCACGACACAGTGTAATAATGAAACCGTTTTTTTTTTCTTGATATATATATGTATTAAAAAATCATAAAACTTATACTTAAGTGTAACAATATTGTAAAAGGATATGTATATTTCTGCATGGTATGAGTTTCGCAACACATTAATGTCCAGAGTATTATTTCGTGCATTATATCTATGTATTTTTCTTTCCCTTGTAACTTAATACTAAAATAATATATATAAGTTTGTCTCTATCCTGTGAATATTCTATTCCAAGGATAATCCACAAAGTAACAAGCAAAACCGATCCAAGTTTATTTATGTCTGACTGGCAAGTTTCCTCAATTTCTTTCTCCATCTCAATCAGCAAGAGATTAGAAGTGAGATTAGAGAATGAGAAACTTGGATGAGCCTTCTTAATTGTTTAGTTCTAAAAGTTCAGTGAAAGAAAGCGGTGCGCAGAGAAATTACATAAACGATTTTAGATAACAGCAAACAGGGATAAAAATCGTATAAATTTTTCTTATCTCGATCATTATAAATAACACGCGTTTGCGTATTTAGAAAAATATACGCAACGCGCATAAAAGGACAACGTATCAAAGTGCACATTAACATTCTGTCATCCTGTACGAATGCCACATTTGTGCAGGCATCTGTACAATTTATATGAAAGCGAGAAAACGGTGAAAAATAAGAAAACTTATCTGTGATTAAAAATAGGATAGCAAATATCGCGCGCCTATCTCTTTTTTAAAATCCGTGTCTTTCATCTCTATTCATTTATCGAATACAAAATCATTGCATTGAGCATTGAGCCAAACACTTCGATGTTCTGTACCTCGAGTCTATAATGTTATAGTATGGAAGCTTGGTTTTTATATTAAGAAAAAACGCTTTTGTACACCTTAGCCGAACATTCCAACGTGTTCGTAATATGCAGGCAAATAAAATTGAAAATTCAATCAGCCTTGAGAAGGTGATTTCTTCAATTTATTGAGTGTCTATTTTGCTTTAGCTGAGGGACGATTTCTTAGATTTTTCTTTGTCGCTTGGTCTACCTCCGGAAGATCATCATCTTCTGATAGGGCGGATTTCTTGCCTGCTGACGAACATAAAAAATATGCATATATTTCGATCAAATAAATCTTATCATAATAAAAGAAAAGATAAAATAAATGATAACAAAATATATAATAATGAACAAAACCGTCCTCACCATCTCGCTTTCTCAACTTCTGTTTCGGTTTTGTCTTTACGACAACGGGTGTGGCGTTCTCGCGCGCGCGCTTAATCTGCTTCGCGATGAAGAAATATAGGAGGTAGCCTTGGAAGAGCGAGATAATAGTTACAGCCAAGAACTGCACAGTAGGAATATTAAAGTTGCCGGTAGCATAGTCGAACTTGTACTCCTGATTCCTCAAACCATATAGGAACACTACAAACGTGAATGCGAGGGTCGCGACACGCGCGAATGCATAAACCGAATTGGCAACCAGGAATGATACTGTAGCAAACATCAAATAAATATATTAATTCAGAGTTACGCAAATGCGATAGTAGTTTAATTATCAAGATAACTTACATTTTGTTCTCTTTTCTTTTTGACTAATGAAATGAACCAATCTGGCTGAATGTAGCAAGGCATCTCCCAGATAATGGAGAGTTAACAGGATTACAGCGAATTGTTGGAAGCTGCAAAGGAAAAATATTACAAACTAACGAAAGAACAAAAATATATATAATATAAATATCTATATATTATTATTATTATTATATTACTTGAATAAATAAGCTGCTAATGTGTAGATTAAACCAATGGTTGCATGAAGGACGCGTTGCAAAATATCTTCTTTCTTAACTCGTTGAAAATAAAGCTCGGGGTAACAATGTAACCAATAAGCAAGTTGACCAATAAAAAATAGTTTTAGGGAGGCAGTCATTGGCGCCGGATAATCTTCCCATAATGTCCATATATTCAGAAGTATGTTCTCCCTGAAAGAAAAAGAAATGTACTTATTTACACCGTCAATATTTGTTTCCCTATTTATTATTTCTCTCAGTAAATATAAAATCTAAAAGCTTGAGAATTACAAAGATAAATATCGCCTTTCTAAGACTGTATATCCCTGTTCTAAGACTAGTGTTACCTAATTATAATATCAATGGCCCATATTACAGATGATAAATAAAACACTATCAATTGGCTGGACTCATTAAATTTAGAAAGTTTCACTTTGCTGAGATGAAGCCGCTTGGAAATTTTCTGCGGATAAAAGCAAATTTATCAGTGAAAGCTTAAATATACATTTTTAAGGTCCATACAATAAGGAATAAAGAACAAAGAATTAAATACAAAGAATTATTCATATATTGAAATTTAATTCTATATTTTAATTTCTTGTTTCTTATTCCTTTCATTATATTTTCATAATCAATAGATATACTCACATCAAATATGTATTCCTGTAGCACAGCATGCATTATAATAGTGATCAAGAAGTAAAAGAAAACTGCACATGCATCCTTCCATCCTGTAGTATATTTTATCACTGCTGTTGGATCCTCCGTAGTGTTGGTTACATTGTAGTGAATAGCAATGAACATATAGGCCCATGGCGAAGTGACCTAGTAAAGAGAATAATCTTATTAGAAACTATGTTAAATTATTAAGAAATAAGCAAGTAATATACAACTATAAAAATATGGCTAAATATTGGGATATAATAAACCTGAATATTTCAATACTTTTTTCTTTTTGTATTTTTTTCTTTTCTTGTGATGATATATGGTCATTTTTTTGTTAATTCACATACGATTTAGCAAAATCAAATTATCATTTTAAAACTCTTGATTATTATCTGTCATTTTAGTTGCTGATTAAGTTTTATCATTTATATATCATTAACATAAAAAAATAATTATATATCATATATCATAGACTTAATAAAATAGCAATTACACAAACATTGTAAATTTATGTTAAATAACTAACACATGTAAAACATCTGTCAGTATATTCATGCCCATAACAGGAGCTTAGTAGTATAAAATACATATTCATGGACATGACAAATCAAGAGGCACATGTGTGTCAAAATCTGGCAGTCAACAACCTGTAACATATGGTCATCCTATTTCTCGAACGTTCCCGAATTTCCAGACAACGCGACTATCTATAAATCAGTAACGAGAAACCTCTCGGGGACGAGAAACCCTTCGCGAACGCAACCCTCCCGCTCTCGTTCCCTCTTCGTACGTGAGCAAAATCCTAACGTCGGGACGAAACGCCGGATGGCGAAACTGGCCATATTATGGTGTGGACGCACCGACCTGCACCATCAAGCCGATCACGAAGACCATAGCCACGCAGGAGATGATGTCCGCGTGGTTCTGTATGACGAACTCATGGCTGAATATCGGCGGGTTCTTGCTCGAGCTCTTGCGTCCCTTCACCGTGACCATCTTGACACCGGAGACGTGTGTTCACTGCGCGGCGGACGCGGCACGACGGACGGACGGGCCACGGCGTTTCCACCGCGCAGAGACGTCATGCGTGTCTGGCACGTCGCTACGTCACACCAGACACCACCACGCGGCGGCCAACGCCGAGCAATGTGGCGCTTGATCTTTTAACCCGTTGGCACCGTGCGAGTCAAAGCGGTTGTTCCGCACTCGCGTCTTCGAAAAACACCCTCTTCCATTCACAGCTGGATCGGAAAAATTCGCGCTCGTTGAGAAACGCGCGAGCGAGACGATGGCGAAGGATGCGGGGGGGGGGGGGTGGTAGAAAATGTGAGATAATTAGCGATTTAGAGGATACCTCGATTTGGACACTCGCTTGACTTGTAACGCGACGTACCCAGCGCACCTCGCGCGAATTCGAATTGAAAAGCTAATTGAAAATTTTATTAGAATTTCTGGATTGAAATTAAAAGGTCGGACACGATGAGAGGAATAAATATAAAATATAGAGAAAGGGAGAGAAAGAAGTATAAGTGTTAGTAGACAGGATTTTAGACGATTTCTTTTTATTTCTAAAATTTATGTTATATTCTGTTTTGTAAAAAGGCATTAAGTCAATATTTGAATCTATATCGAAGTCTGATGAATAAATAACGAAAGAAAAAAAAGTTTCCTAAACATAGAAAACGTAACTCTGGAGCATAATACTTAAGATAATAGTATTTTATATTTCAGAAAAAATATATTTAGGTGATATGTTTGGGTAACACATTTAGAAGATATAGTTTATTTCACGACATAGATACAACATCGTGCATAATATATAGCAGTTTTTCCTAAGTTTAAACGTTTCGTCGCAACAATTAATTTGCATGACATTACAAATTGTTGACGAATACAATCTTATCTATACTGCATTAATCAAGTATGCAGTGTCGTCAATAATTCAAAATCCGAAGAAAAATAAATATAGTAATTCTAATACTATACATGCTGTAGGATGTAAATTCATTGATCAACAATGAGTCAAAAATTATATCTCTGAAAATGTTAAAAATAATATCTCATTTCTTATATTCTTATTGCGCTAATGGCGGGCAGCTAACAATTCGAAATTATCCAAGTACTATTTGTACATTTTTGCGTATATATATATATAACAGTATAGTGTGTGATATACAGCGCTCGGTAATTATATGTATATTTTAATCAACCTCTGCATTAAATGGCTATTCAAATATTAAATGATATTAAACATCAACACAATTTTATCATGATTCTGAAGTTAAAATAAAATTTAAAAAATTATATATATATAATA